ATACGATTTAATTAATAATAATAAAAGTTTTATATAGAATAACTAAAATGATTTATTTTTAAAAATTGTCAGTGAGTGTATATAGTAAATTCAACATTCAAAAGCAACCTAGAAACGCCACTGATGGTAAATATATTTTCACTGTTATTTGTTTTATTAATTATTTTAATTATTAATTATTTCCATTAGAAGAACAAAAAAAGTAAGTTGTCTAAATTATTATGTTCTAATAACATATAAAACTCTATTAATATACATGTTTATATATTTAGCATTTGATTCCTAACTAAATGATTTGATGATAATTTCTGATGATAAAATTATTTTTATGAAATTATATTATATTTATTAAAAAATAAATTATTTTAGCCGTTAAATTTAGATTACAAATGAAAAAAAAAAAAGTTATATATTAAATGAACGTTATTTTAAATTTAAATACATAATATGCATTAAGTAATCGCTATATTTGTCATTTTTAAATTCCATCATGTATCACAAATAATTAGTAGATATCGCGTCATCTTACATAATACCCTAAAAAAAATATAAATATTGTGTAATAATTAAAAATTTTTTTTTTGATGAAATATGTTATCATATTTACCAAAAAATCATACTAATAATAGCGATAATAACGAAAATACAGAAAATTCAGAAAATCCCGATAAAGATATATTATTACCTTTACGAACTTTAATAATAGATAACTATGATTCATATACATTTAATTTACTTCAGCTTTGGAATAGTAAAGAAAGCTTGAATAATGTGGTCGTTATTAGGAACGACCAATTTTCCTGGTATTTTTCTTTTAACTTCCTATAACTTAAAAAATTCTTTTAAATTTTTTTTTTTTTTTTTGCTTAAATAATAAAATTATTATTTTTATTTTTTTTTTTTTGATAAAATATAGGTTCGAATTTAAAGAGAACATATTACCATATTTTGATAATATTATAATTTCACCTGGGCCAGGTAGTCCAGAAAATAATACCGTAGATATTTTTATTAAAATAAAATTAATTATTATTTTTATCTAAATATCCAAATTTCTAATTGATCAATTAATTAATTAATTAATTATATTAATTAATTATTTATTTATTATTAATATTTCTTGAATCCATAGGATTTTGGAATATGTAAAAATATTCTAGAATTAGATAATATTCCAATATTAGGAATTTGTTTAGGGCATCAAGGTATTGGATTAACTTTTGGAGGAAAGGTGAAAATATTTTTATATATTTTATTTATAATTTTACTGTTACGGTTATTATTAATACTTGAAATATAATAATAAATAATAACAGGTGACGAATGCGAAAAGGATAATGCATGGAAGATTAAGTTCTATTTATCATGATGGAACATTTAATCCTAATTCATTACTTTATAAAATTCCTAGTCCATTTTTAGCTGTGAGATATCATAGTTTAGTGGTAGATAACAAAGGTATTTATTTTAATAATTATTTAATATTTTAATTATTTTATTAATTATTTCATTTTATAGAACTTTCATCCGAATTAATAATTTCAGCATGGTGTAGTGAAGATGAAAATGAAAAGGATAATGGGTTACAAGAATGTTCTCTCAATGTTATTAATAATTCTATTAATACTATTAATACATATATTAATACAAGTGATAGTATTAAACTTTCTCCTATTGTGGTAAAAGAGGCAAATAGTACAATTATGGGATTACAACATGTAGTTAAACCAATTTATGGAGTTCAATTTCATCCAGAGGTTTTTCAATTTATTTTATTTTTTTTTTTAATTTTTAATTTTTTAATTTTTAATATTGATTATTAAAGAATTATTATTTTGTTCCTTTATATTATTATTATTATTATTATTATTATTATAATTAGTCAATTTGTACAGAACATGGATTTCAAATATTAAGAAATTTTCAATCTATTTCACGTGAATTTTTATTAAAAACGGTAAATTTTAAATTTTAATTAAAAATTTTATTATAATTTTCTCAATGATAATAACGATTAATTGGAATTTATATTAAAAAATATAAAATAGAGAGGAATTTCAATTCCTCGTCAAAAACTTCCTGAACATATCAAATCACTCACAGTGGTTCCCAAGAGTTGTTTCAAATCAATCAGTTATAATAGTGATAATCCAACAACAGAATCACCATCATCACCATTATCATCACCGTCATCATCATCATCATCATCATGTAAGATTATTATGAAAATTCTTAATAAAGATTTATGGATTGATGATTCATCATTGGTATTTCAAAAAATCGTATCAATTGATAAATCTAAATGTGGAATTTGGTGGTTAGATAGTGCTAAAGTATTTTATTTTTATTATATTCTTGTCTTGTCTTGTAAAATATTATAAAATAATGATTTATGATATAATGATTTATAATCTTGATTTATATATAACAATGATATTATTACATTTTTTAATTAATTATTTTGTAGTTACCAGATCCACAAAGTAGATTTTCATACATGGGATCAACACCAACTATTTCAAATTCATTTTCCACATCATATGATACACTCAACAAGAAATTGACTATTACTTATTCAAATAATAATAATAATAATAATAAATTTGTTTCAGAAGAAAAATTATCAAATCAAACATATTGGGATTGGATGTCTGAAACGATGCAACAATTTAATCAACGTATTATTGGATTACGAGTATTAAATGATATAAATGATGGAAATTATATGAATAATAATATTCCATTTGATTTTAGATTAGGAATGGTGGGATATTTTGGATATGAGATGAAACGTGAATCATTACAAAGTTATCAACAACATCATCAACATTTTCATCATCAATCGTCATCAGTTTATAAGGTTCCTGATGCAGCATTCATTTTTGCTACACAAGCGATTATATTTGACCATGTCGAAAAACGGATATGGCTAGCTGGTTTAGTTCATAAAGATTTAAAGGATTCCACTGCTACTACTTCAACTAGATCAAAAAATAATTGTATATTAGACATTCCATTGGGATATTCTTTTAAGGATTTTATATCTTGGATAAATTTAACTGAAAAAAAATTAAAAAAATTAAAAAAATTAAAAAAATTAAAACAATCAAATCAATTAAATCAATTAAATCAATCAAATCAATTAAATCAATCAAATCAATTAAATCAATTAGAACAATCAAATCAATTAAAACAATTAAAACATTTAAAACATTTAAAACAATTTAAACAATTAAAACAATTATGTAGCATCAAAACATCCTCCACATCAACTAACAAAAGTAACAATAATAATAATAATGTTAATATTAATAACCTTAATTTCATTCCGGACCTAATAAAAGATTCATATTTGGGATCAATAGAAAAAGCCCAATATTATATTTACGAAGGACAAAGTTATGAAATATGTTTAACAACACAATTTCGAACTTCATTACCAAAACAAGTGGTAGTAGGCATAAGAGAAGGTATAGATGAAGGAAGAGAAGGAGGAGGAAGAAGAGTAGGAAGAAGAAGAAGAGTGGAAGAAGAAGTAAAAGAAAGAGGAAGAGGAGAGATATTAGATATGTTTGAATTATATCAATACATCCGAACAAATAATCCTGCGCCATTCTCAGCATTAATTCATTTCCCAACTGAAGATTTGTCAATATTTAGTTCATCACCAGAAAAATTTTTACAAATAGATAATAAAGGAGTAATAGAAATGAAACCTATTAAAGGAACAATTGCTAGAGCTAAAGGATGTTTTTGTCTACGTAGTGACATTGATGATGATGGTGTTCCAGAATGTGGCAAAGGTGTACAATGTGAGATGAATAGAAAGAAAGAAGATACGAGAAGAATAAATCAATTGATTGGAGATGTTAAAGAACAAGCTGAGAATTTAATGGTATTTTATTATATATTTTTTAGTATATATTATATTATTATTATTATATTTAATATTTTACGTTATATTTTACATATACTAATCAAATATTTTATTTATTATATTAATTATTATATTAATTATTAGATAGTAGATTTAATTCGAAATGATTTATCCCAAATATGTTTACCTCACACAGTTAAAGTTCCTACTTTGATGAAAATAGAATCGTATGAAACTGTACATCAACTTGTAACTACTGTTCAAGGAAATTTAAGAAATGATTTAGATTGTATTAATGTTATACGTGAATGTTTTCCTCCTGGTATTATAATTATTTTATTTATTATTTTATTTATTTTATTTATTATTTTATTTATTTTATTTATTATTTTATTTATTTTTATTTATTTTATTTATTTTTATTTATTTTATTTATTTTTATTTATTTTATTTATTTTTATTTATTAGGGTCAATGACAGGAGCTCCAAAATTACGTTCTGTTCAATTACTTGATGAATTAGAAAATAATATTCCGAGAGGTGTATATTCTGGTTGTTTAGGATATATTTCATTACATGATGGAACAACAACAGGAGAAGAAGGAGGTGGTGGTGGTGGTAGTAAAAGAGGAAGAGGTACTGCTAAATTTAATGTGGTTATAAGAACTGTGGTTATAAAGGATGGAAAAGGTAATAATCTATTTTATTGTTTTAATTATTTTTATATATAATATTTTATTAAAGTAATGGTTATTCTATTCTGTTTTAATAGAAATATCTATTGGTGCTGGTGGTGCAATTGTTTACCTTTCAAATCGAGAATCAGAATGGAAAGAAGTTTTATTAAAATCTCAATCCGTTTTACCTAGGTATTTATTTATTATCATTTATTAATATTTTATTATTTATTATATCATTTATTTTATTATATTATTTATTTTTAATATTATTTATTTGTTTATTTATTATATTTCTTTCATTTATATTTATTTAAATTTTCTCTTATTTTCATTTACATAGTGTCTTGGAATTTATGAAAGACAAAAAAATATTTCAATAGTTATCATTAGTTAATTATTTTCATATCATATACACTATAATGCATATGTATAAAAAATAACTTTTAATATTTAACATAAATATAGAAATTAAACCAATATTCAATTATTAAAGTAATATAAATAATATAAATGAAAAATAAAAAATAAAAATATTTGATCGAGACTTTTTTCATTTTTATGTTTGCATAGTTAATTTAATTTTTTTTTTTTATTTTTTAATGCAAATAAATTTAATAAATAAAAATATTACCATCAGAAATTATGTGTTAAATGTATATAATATAGAGATTTGTCTGTTATTAGAATACTTACTTTTTTGTTTCTCTATGGAAATGATTAATAATTAAAATAAATAAATAAAAAAATAATTAATAAAATAAATAATAAATAAAACAAATAAAAGATGAAAATAATGTAAAATATATTACCATCGGTCGCCTTTCTTTTGAAAATTGAATGTACAAAAGAATTCATGAATTACGTGAAGAAATACGGCAAATTTCAGAAGGAGCACAGATTATAATGGATAATACTGGTGCATATGTACAGTCGCGTCGGAAAGTAATGCCTGATTTTTATTAAAATAAAAATTCCGATATGTACATGATTTATTAAATTTATATTACCTGCCGGGCAACTGTTTTTTTATCAAATTTATCAATAAAATTCAAGGGCAAATTGTGACACAAGGAATAATTTAAATTGCGTAAACTTTTTTTTAAAAAGATCCCCTAATCAATGGTTATCATATGATATCTTTTCTGT